GACAATGCAGCCCTGCACAGATCCGCTTTTCTCTAGGCCCCTGGCTCTGTACTGTGAATGTGTCTTCCTTAGTAGCAGGCTGACCTGGGTCAAGGCACCTTTCTTCATGGGAAAGTCCTGTTTGTCATTTCCACCACAGATCTGGACGGCATAGCCCTTCTACTCCAGTGTTGGCAGCAACTTGTGTGGCCCTGGAAGTTTCCGTCCAATGTGCACTGAATAGTTTCAGCCAGCACTTGTAGGCAAGGAGATGTAGAGCTTTACCTTGACTGTGCTTAGCACTGACCACACAGCTAAGCTCACACACTTCCGTTCTAGACCTTTTTGTAATCTAAAATCCACCAAGCAGCCCCAAGTATATTATTTTCTGGAACAATTCATCAATATTCACATTATTACAAATTGAAACAAATACTAAAATTCATGTTTTTAAAATATTATCATGTTAGTCCTCCCTGCACTCCAAAGCCGCTGGAGAAGAATGGCCTCTTTCTCTGTGTGCATTTCTGCTGTATCATTTCTCCTTTCTTTTCCAGATTGACTCATTTACTGGAAAGGCAGAATAAGACAGAGATCAATTGTTTTCCACCTGGTAGGTTATTCCCCAAATGGCCACGATGGCAGGTGCTGGGCCAGGCCAAAGCCAGGAGCCAGATCTCCATCCTGGACTAAGTGCCTGGTCCATTGTCCCCTGCCATCTCAGGCATATAGCACATTAAAGGGAAAGAAACTGCAGGTCAAGCAATGGGGATTCAGACTGCTATCACCAGTAGTGGCACGAGCCACCTGGCCCGGTGTCACCTCTTGACAGGAGGTGGCCGGTTCTCTCGTCTGCTTCTGCAGTTGGCTGGAATGTCCATCCCAGTGGAGCACACGAAGAGAACTCTGCCTCACGCAGTGCTGGTACTGGAACAGGAGGAGGGATGAGTACTTCAAGAGGACTTTCGGGTACAACTGCAGAGTGTCTGCTGATACTACAGCCAACACTCAGCACACCGAAGCTCCTTCAGGCAAACTGCAGGCGGAACCTGACACTAATAAAGCACGCCGCTCTTTTCTGCGTTTTGAATCATCTTCCACCCAGGAGTAATTGTGGGGCTCTAAGCTGTTGTTCACCGAGATCTTGATAATGTTGACACATCACAATGTTCAACAGGTATGTTTTAAAAATCACACTTGTTCACCATTTATTCTCATTTTTGTTTGAAAACTAAAATTATCACGGGCAGCAAGCAGAAGCACTTTTTTTCTTGAAGTGACAACATCGTTTTTTTCTTGAAAAAATGTCAAGTCCGCAACTCAGAATGTAATGTTAGTTGGTCTTTCAAGAAAAAACCAACCCACCCACCCAGCCAACAAAATGACAGGCCGTAGCTCTGCTGGCTGGCACGGATAGTCACTGCACCTTTTCCAGGCGCTGTGTACTGCCACCCTGGGCAACTCTGCCGAGGCCACCTAAGATGGCATCAAAGACACCAAGGATTCGTTCCCTGACCTCTGGAAAGAGATCGTGCGCACCACATTTTCGTATCAGTTTCACTGGCCATCTTGTAAAGACCCATTCCCGAGTCTGCGCAGGCTCCACCTGTGGGTATGACACAGGGGTTGCCACAAGCAAGGTCAAGTGAATAAAGGCTGGTAGACCAAGCGTGTAGTCCAGCTTGTGACCCTGGCCATGCCTGGGTCTGAGGCGGTGCTCACGCCCAGCACTCAGCACAGAGTGGAGCTGCAGAGGGACAGTCCACCACGGAGAAGGCAACTTTCAGTGCCAGAGATGAGCTATGTGCACATGAGCCTGAGGGCACCCGGGCTCCAAAGGGCTTCCCAGGACAGCAAGCTAAACAGATGCAGAGGCACAATGCACAGGAGCCTCCTATGCAGGCTTGTCTCTGGCCAACTTTCCCAAAGACTGCCAGTATAAGAATGAAACGGCTACAAATATGAAGAAATCTGTCAATGCTTTTAGCTATAACTCTTCTGCCATTAAGTAGTATAGTTAAACTTCAAATTTTGAAATGTAAATGGGAGAAAAATATTTCCTTTAAAAAAATTAGTCTGTGGGCCCGGCGGCGTGGACTAGTGGCTAAAGTTCTTGCCTTGAATGAGCCGGGATCCCATATGGGCGCCCATTCTAATCCCAGCAACCCCGTTTCCCATCCAGCTCCCTGCTTCTGGCCTGGGAAAGCAGTCAAGGACAGCCCAAAGCCTGGGGACTGTGTACCCGCATGGGAGACCTGGAAGAAGCTCCTGGCTCCTGGCTTTGGATCGGCACAGCTCTGGCTATTATGGCCACTTAGGGAGTGAATCATCGGATAGAAGATCTTCCTCTCTGTCTCTCCTCCTTTCTATATATCTGACTTTGCAATAGAAATAAATATTAAAAGAAAAATTAGACTGTGTTAAACATTTTCTTAACGGTATACAAAATCTACCTACAAGTCTGATACACAACTTGAATTTAAGAAATCTAAGTGGAATTTATCTATTCTAAGGAATTGCCAGAAGAATGTGAAAATTTCCAAGGATCTGTAAGCTGTGCATGTCATAGGGCAGAACAAAATCTCAGAAGCAGCAGAATCCTCCCGGCGAAGCTGCTGACTATCCCGACAGGAGAACACTGGTTCGGACACGGGCCACGCCCACAATGTCAGGAAACACCTCAATAGTGGAAGGATGGCTTAAGGAGTGTTCACGAAGGACTACCCACTGTAATACTAGTGGGGAAATCCCAGAGCTTAGGGAACTGTTCCATAAAACAAAAAAAATGAAAAGCAGGAGACTCATTTCAGATGCGTTGCACTCTGAGATTTCTGCCTGGCAGCGACCCAACACTTGGTGCACCTGTCTATGATCATCACGGTTTTCTAATGATTAGAAATTATTAAAACTGTTATTCTGGGGATTGCCAAAGTTTGCCTTGAAGGGCCAATTACAAGAAATATTAAAGTATGTGGCCATCCTGCCCATCACAACCACTCCACTCGTGCGGAGAGAAACCAGTCAGGCGTGATGCATAAATGGATGGGCATGGCTGTGCCCCAACCAAACTTGCAGGTAACAAAAACGCCTGCTGGCCTATCTTAAACAAGTATACCACAGTGCACAGCAGAATAATCTCTGGCTATTCAAAGAGCCTCAGAATGTATACTGTGCAAACCTCTCTAAAAAATAAAGATATTATTACTTGAAAAATTAATCAGAAATCATCTTTGTACTTTAAAAATCAAATAGCTCAGAAAAAGCAACAAAAAAAAGCCTCACCAACTCTGCCTTTAAAAGGAGAATTAGCAAACCCCAACAGCTCATACTATGGAAAACTGCTTAGATGGACAACGCTGCTGGCTGCTCTGCACGACTGGGCACTCCTCGTCATGCAGTGTGCCTCGCTAAGGCACCAGGGAGCTGCTGCAGAATGAACTGCTGAGGGGGCACGAGCAGTGCCACCGTGTGACTGAGGAACGCGAGGTCTGGCGCAGGCAGGGACCTGACCCACTCAGACTGTCAACAGCAGGATCCCATAGGAACTAGCTCCTAAGTGTTGGCTTTAAGATCTGAGAAATACATGTTCCTCCTTCCTATACTGAATTGCCATGCAGGCAACAGAGCAAACGGGAACTTGTTAACCCAACAGGGAGGGTCAGGAGCACTGGGAGGAGAGGCTCCTGTATTTATTGGTGGATAACTAAGGATTTGTTACTAAACCAAGAATGACAGAACTGTCCTGCTTTTCTCCCAGCAGATGAGGTGACCCCTGTGGACAGGGCTGGAGCAGGCATTCTTTGCCTCTACACTTCTGAGGAACTGTGCTAATCCACGCAGCTCATTCTCAGTGCACGGTGCACTTGCTGACACGCACTGCAAAGAGACATTTCAGTGCTGGGCATGGTCTGAGGTGGGCATCTGTAGTGGCTGCACTGTGGCTTGGGACTCTGACATCCCACATTGCAGTGCCTCATGCAGGTCTGCGCTCACCTGCTTCCAATCCAGCTTCCTGCTAACATGCACTCAAGTGCCAGCCGCACAGGTCAGCTCGGAGCTCCCGGCTCCTGGCTCTGGCTGGGCCCAAACCTAGCGGCTATGAGCATTTGAGAAGTGAATCCGTGAATAGAATATTTCCCTATGTTTCTCATTTTCAAATAAAAGAAAAATTTATTTAAATAGTATTTTCTAATGTTATTAAAAAAGAAAACAAAGTAAATAGTTGTCAAAGTTTAACACACTTTTAGCCAATAAGATGCTAAACAGCAATTACCCATTAACCACAAAAATCCCTACTCTATTAACTGCAGAAAACAGACCAAGAAATCTGTGTGCACCTTTTACTTCTGACAAGATGACACTCTTAGATACAGCAAAGAATAATGCGCTTCAGGATATTGCCACCCAAATTCCCAGCTTGAGTCTACCCCATGCAGTGGCAAGCCCGGGGGCAGGGAGGCCTCGGCCAGGCAGCCAGGGTCTGCCACGCTGCTGGCAGAGCTGCCCAAGGAAACCGCAGCAAGCACAACGTGCCCTTTTCTCCACACAAACCAGTCAGCTACAGACAAGACAGAGGGAGACAATGGACACAAACTTCTCAGAAACAAAACCAATATTAAAGGAATATGGTTAGTTGGAACTAGACCAATTTTAAATAGAGTCCTTGGCCCCTGTTTAATGTTTTAGTCCAGACTGCAGCATCGGGGACTTTCACACTACAACAAAACTCCCCTAGGCCTGCAGGTAAAAAGGAACAGAAGAGCATGCTATGATCTCGTCTAATCCCATCGCCCTGCTCACCGCAGCTTCCACTGGAAACCCAACTTGGGAAAAACGAGCAGACAGGAAACAAGCTGGTGTTATACCCACCACCCCGAGAAACCTGGCAACTGACTTCCTCCTCACGGAAGCCAGTGCCACACCCATAAGCCTCCCAGGTTGCTAACAATGACTCCCCAACGCCCAGAAACTCCCCAGGTTAGTAACAAGTGATTCCCATACGGGGCTGGGCCCTGGGCTACCTTGGGTGGTGCTTCGTCTGCCCCTCCGGAGTCCCAGGACACCGTGGCCTGTCTTCTGGACTCCATCCTCATGCGTTCCTCTTGTTGAGCCTTCTCCTCCTCCAGTACTGTGCTAGAGAGACAACACATTGATTTAAGGGGACGTGATGACCACGAGCGCGCTCATCTGATCCCCCACGACGCATCGCGGTGAGCCAACAGCGATGGCAGCAATAAAGCAAGGGTCCTGCACGCCCAGGGAAACAGCTTAGGTTCCTAACTCTTCACATAAGATGATTCTAGAACATTACTGATTCAAAACGGCGAACCCCTTCAAAGCATAAAGGTAAGAAAAAGACAGCTCGTGAGAAGAAGACAAGTCAGGAAGAAATGCAGGACAGGCCACGGAGAAACGGCTTCTGCGAACACCCTTGCCCTGAGCAAGCCCAAACAGCACTCTGCAAGCATTCTCATGTCCGAGGACAAATTCCTCACATGAACACAGGCAGCTCCCACAGACCGTGACCACACCAACTCACTACGCAAGGCATTAGGAATTTGGCCAATCGTCTCCCTAAAGTGCTCAACCCAATCTCCCCACTGACTTTCAGTTTCACCAGTACTTTATCTGCTCAACAAAGACCGACACACAGGCACTCCCAGTGCTCCCTGAAGCACCACCTGCCAGTGATGCTGGGCTAAGTGACAAGGCTACTCACCCCACTTGGAGGCTACCCCAAGTCCCGCAGAGCCGTGGCCTCCGCTGCCTCCTCAATGCCTGCTAGGCGGCCTCTCAGTCTTGGCGCTCTGCCACTCCAGACTCAGGCAGCTGGAGCGGGACTCTGCTGGTTTCCCACTCCCTGCGGATTCCCCAGGGCTTCACAGGCTGTAGGTCTTGGCAAGCTTTATCCTAACATGGCCACAGGTCTTCCTTTGTGCCCGCAACGCCACGGTTTTAATCCTGCCGTTCTGAGTCCCTGGCCCTTGTGTAGAGCGTGGTAACTAACCGCCCCGAATTACTCAGGAAAGAGTGACATCAGCTGCTCAGGCTTTCTAATCTGGGAATTTGCTCAACTGTTTAAAAAGACAGTCCTGCCTGCTGGGGCTGCAGCACTGCTTCACACACCACCACTGCGCACGCAGTCACCTTCCTCCTCAGGAAGAGATGCCATTCATGCCTGAGCTGCCCTGAGTCAGCGAGCCATCACCAGAGGGGAGGATTTCAGTCTTTCCTGAAGGCGGGGAATGCTTTCCTTAAGCACTGATCATGCCAACAGTTTCCACCCCACCAAGACTGGAGTTTCTTTCTCGTTTCACCTAGAAGATCGAAGCTCAGCAAACACCAAGAAGCTCTAACCACGTGCCAGGCCCAGCAGTGCTGGCAGGCTAGGAGAGCCTGGCTCTGCACACTGCCCCAGCCAGGCTCATGCAGCCAGCCTGGCTCTGCACACTGCCCCAGCCAGGCTCACCCAGCCAGCCTTGCTCTGCACACTGCCCCAGCCAGGCTCACGCAGCCTGGCTCTGCACACTGCCCCAGCCAGGCTCACCCAGCCAGCCTTGCTCTGCACACTGCCCCGGCCAGGCTCACCCAGCCAGCCTTGCTCTGCACACTGCCCCGGCCAGGCTCACCCAGCCAGCCTTGCTCTGCACACTGCCCCAGCCAGGCTCACCCAGCCAGCCCTGCTCTGCACACTGCCCCAGCCAGGCTCACGCAGCCTGGCTCTGCACACTGCCCCAGCCAGGCTCACCCAGCCTGGATGTTAAAGGATTTTTAACATTTCTTTGAAAGGCATAGTCACAGAGGGAGACAGAGAACCTTTCATCAGCAGGTTCACTCCCTAAACGCCCACAATGCATTGCCAGTAGCTTAACTCCCAGTGCTACAATGGTGACCTTGTATTAACGTAACAGAGTATTTTCTCTAGCACTACTGACTTTCCAATAATAATAAAAAAATTTTTTTTAAACATTCATTTATCTTTATTTGAAAGGCAGATTTTACAGAGCAGAGAGGGAAGGTCTTCCATCTGCCGGTTCACTGCCTTAAATGGCTGCAATGGCCAGAACCCAGCTCACCCGAAGCCAGCAGCATCCCCCAGTCTCCCACGTGGGTGCAGGGCCCAAGGCCTTGGGCCATCCTCCACTGCGTTCCCAGGCCAAGAGCAGGGTTAGCAGTGGGACATTGGGAACACAACCTGACACCCTTATGAGATACTGGGACCACCATACTGTGCCACCACGTGACCCCACTTTCCAAGAATCTGCAAACTTTCTGTTTGGTACAAGAGGACGTAAGTCTTTGTACTGAACAGGATAGGTACCGAGATGGAAGTCGCTCAGCCTGGGTTGTTCTGGCCCAGCGAAAGCCAGGAGGAGGAGGTCCAGCAGGCTGCAGCCGGGCCAGCCCAGACTGCACGTGTGGCACACGGCCGAAGCACAGAGACCTGTCTGCTCCCCAACCACTTTTGGTGTGGAAACGAGGACCTTACATTTCAGTTTTCCTTATGCACTCAAATTCTTGACTCCGTGTTTTTGCCACAGACAACTCCAGGCCTCACTCACAAAGTGGGGTACCTACCTGACCACCTTTCTCAGTTTGTTGTCAAAGAGTAGAATGAAAAGTGAACAAACTGTATCAATAATCAGGACACCCAAAAGCTTTTAGAAACAAAGATTATTACAAATTTCCCATCAAATAATATCCTTTATAGTAACTATCACTTGCAAGATGGGCTGTAAATATTTTAAATAATCTAAACTACAATTTGAGCCTGAGGTGTAACACAGAAAGCTGCCTTGTTGGAAATCTTTCATCACCCACGGAAACGCCAGAGCGACACTAACCCTCAAGTCTGCGGAACATGGCCGCGCGGCGTTGATGCCATCAACACGTACTAAGCCGCACCTGCAGGAACGGCAGCAGAGGTGGGTAAGAGGGAACCATCTTCAACTAGGTGCCCACCACTTGCCAGAGCAAAGTTGGGAAGGTACACTTAACTCCCAGGTTATAAAATAACAAGTCAACCTGTGCCTACAAAGGCTACTGAAGGAGTTAAAAAAACCTACATGCTTGCTTCAACTCATGCATTTGCACATACATAACTGTCCTTGTTGATTAAGTTTGCTTTTAAAGATTTAGTTTATTTGAGAGGCAGATTTACAGAGAAGGAGAAGGAAGGAGAGGCGAGACGAGAGCGTGCAATAATTTTCATCTGTGGCTCCCACCCCTGCCAGAGCCGCGCAGGTCTGAAGGGAGGAGTCTGGAGCTTCCACCAGTCTCCCACACGGGTGCAGAGAACCAAGGACGTCAGCCCTCCGCTGCTGCTTGTCTAGGCACATTAGCAGGGAGCAGAGTCAAAGTGGAACAGCCAGGACTCAAATCTGTGTCCACATGTAATACTGGCACTTTCAGTGGAGGCTTAACCAATTATGCCATGGCACTGGCCCTGTTAATTTTATTTGGAAGGCAGAGAGGGACAAGCTCCTAGCCACTGGCTTACTCCCCCCACACCTGCAATGTCTGAGTCAGGGCCAGGCCAAGGCCAGGGGCCTGAATTCTGCAATCTCTCCCACGGAGGGCAGAGACCCAAGCCCCTGAGCAGCCAGCTGCTGTCTCCCAGGGTGAGTCCACAAGAAGCTGCATTGCAAGTTGAACAGCCAGGGCTCTAATCAGAACTGCTCTGACGCTCACTGAGACCCAACCGCTGCCCAGCTTTCATGTCACTGAGGCTCATAAAGGCGGGACGAGAACAAGAGGACGGTCCCCCAGCTGTATGGCAAGGTGTGATCAAGGTCCAGCTACTTCAGTGCAGTTTCACACTCTCCCCGGATGTGCCTGTGCACTGTCGTGTGCCCTTGTGAGGTGGTCTGTATAAATAATGGGGTCAGCTTTCTTGCATTGCCCATTATGGTCATGAAATTATAGTGGTCCATCTTTTTTCTTTATCTGTTTTTTTTAAAAGATTTATTATTTTTATTATTATTATTTTTTATTGGAAAGGCGGATATACAGAGAAGAGAGACAGAGAGGAAGATCTTCCATCCGATGATTCACTCCCCAAGTGAGCGCAACGGCTGATGCTATGCCGATCCAAAGCCAGGAGCCTCTTCCGGGTCTCCCACACGGGTGCAGGGTCCCAAAGCTTTGGGCTGTCCTCGACTGCTTTCCAGTGCCACAGGCAGGGAGCTGGAAGGAAAGCGGGGCCACTGGGATAGAACTGGTGCCCCTATGGGATCCCGGGTGTGCAAGGCGAGGACCTTAACCACTTGCGCCACCGTGCCGGGCCCATTTTATCTGTTTTTTAAAATGCCGACTCCACATGTTCTTGTGAGCTCTGGACTCAGCTGGAGCTGGTCTCCAGCACCCAGCAATCCTCTTTCCCCACTTCAACACACATCTTAACCGCTTTGCCAAGACACAACCCTTAGCTCTGCTTTACAAAATAAGTGACTCATCTTCTCCTCGTTTCTTGCATCCTTGTCTGTCACCTTCTTCCTGCGTGTGCAGGGAGGGGCTCCGTATGTGATGTCCACTGCCTCCCGCAATGGCTCTCCTGACCTGGAGAGTATTTATCTGGGCAACACTTACTGTGTTCCAAGTGCCAAGTTTCTGCAGTGCTCCCTGACAATCCCAACCCAACAGAAGCTGAGTTAACTTGCTTCTTTAAATATTCCCCAAACTGACTCCTGCTAACTTGATTTTAACATCTGTAAGATATACAGAGAATGTGTTCTGCCTTTGCTTCCCACTGGGCTTGCAGCTGTTACCTGATGGTCTATTTCACCAGCTCATGTGCAATACATGGACTCTGGCTTGTCAAATGCTTTGATAAATGACCAGTGGGGGAATGAGCGAAGCCACATCAGTGAGGTTCACTGGCAAGGGCAGAGCACATTATCAAGCTTCCTGTCCTCCCCTGAGGCCCAACAGGAAATGCCTACAGGCTGCTTCTGCAAGATGACCACGAGGTGGGAGGGGAGAGTCCAGTCGGAAGCCTTAGACAGAGTCCGTTCCAGGGCCCTTTTCCCAATCATCTGATTCTTAAACAGTCAATCTGGGGTATACATTTCCTAACATCTTATGTTTTAAACAACAAAACTTCTTAACAATTGAGGGAGAAGGGCAATCAAGAA